ACCCCCCACACGCTATAGAAATGCTCTATTTTTATTACAAAATGAGAAGGAACAGGAGTAAGGAGTGAGGCAAAATCTCCCTCCAATGGGTTTTAAAATTTGGAGCAGCCCTGGAAACCGGCCGCTGTCCGCTCCTGCTTCCTTCACCCTGGCTCCTGGCTCCTGGCTCCTGGCTCCACTCAGAGGCTGGAGCTCTGGGAGAAGGCGGAACGGGCCGCGGAGACTTCCCTGCACCCGCACTCCCATCGCGTGCCCGGTGGTCACCACCGGGGTCTGTAAGACAATCGTCTCCTCAGGTCTTTCGCACTGGAGCCTGGCACCTCGGAGAGAGTCCCGCTGTGGTTTATTTTTGGAACACGCCCGCTGTGTGTCCGGGCCAGATCCGGGTAGATCTGCACCCCCCGACCCCGCCCCGCGTGCTCCGTACAGAATGTCACGCGTCGGGAGAGATGAACACGCGCCACGGGTGGGGAGAGAAGCTTCCCCCACGTGGCCGGCCTGGTTTCGCTGGCCCTTGCTCTGAGCCGAGCAAAGGCCGTCTGCGTATGTCTGTGTGACCAGGGCACGAACTGGAGGCAACGTTCTTCACAAAATAGGAGGGTCTGGACTCTCCTCTCCACCCTGGACCCTTTTTCAAAGGCTTCCTTCGGAATCTCTTGAACAAATCCGTGTCGTCAAAGAGAATTCCCCAAGCAGAAAGGATGGGAAGTCGGGGGGACCGGCCACATATCCTCTCCGTGGGTCACTCCCCCGCCTGCGCCTGCGTCTTCAGGGCGCGGGGACCCCGCCCGGGAGGCTGGCGGCTCCCACACGGCGGGCAGTGTGGTGGGCAGTGTGGTGGGCAGTGTCCGGCAGGGCCGGCTGAGGCTGCCCGCAGCAGCACAGCGCACACTCCGGCTGCCTGGGCGAGCCGTGGGCAGTTTTCAGGTTCTCAGGCCCCTCAGGACTGCTGCCCTTTCCACCTCCCGGAGAGGAGGCCCCGGAGAGGGGCTGGCCGGCCAGCCAAGGAGGATGCGGGCCAGGAGCCACTTTTCAAGGCGCGCAGCGCACCGGGCGTGGGAAACGTGACCCAGTGTCCGCAGCAGAGTCTGCATGTCCCCGCAACGGGCAGGCCCAGGCGGCTTTGAGGGGTCCTGTCTCCTCCACAGTCGCCGGTGGAGTGCGGCGTTTGCCAGGATGGCGGAAGGGACAGGACAGGGCTGGGGTGTCTTTATGAATAGTTCCTCTGAGGGAGGGTGGCAGAGGTGCGGGCCAGCTGAACCTCCTGAGGACAATCCCAGGGGACCCCCCCCACCCCCAATCTTGGAGGAGGAGGGGTATGCCAGTGCTGACCTGGGGAACACTGGGATGTCTGGTCGTCTTGTTCTCCGCCCCTGTCAGAGTAGCCAGCCTGGAGCTGAGGAGACCCAGACGTGAGTGAGAGTGATTGGAGGCGTCGGAAGTCCTGCTCCCTCCTGCCCAGCAGCTGGCTAGAGGCTTCTCTTAGAAGACTGGGTACCGGCCGTGGGGGTTGGGAAGAAGGAAGACAGTGGGAGAAAATCAGACAAAGGAAGACCACCATAAAACCAGCAGCATGTCTGTAATCACAGGAGCCCTTTGTTTAGAGCGGGTTTAAACAAGTTCTGATCCTTTGGAAGGAGAGGCCATAAACTGAAGCAAAAATAAAAGTGTTTACAGCAAGGGAGACCGAGGTGCAGCAGGGATTCCTTTGCCGGGACCAGTGGGGAGCTGTGGTTGGGCGGCCTGGCCGGGCTCTCCCTGGGTGCTGGGCTCTTCCCCACTTCACAGAGTCACACAGATGAAGGGGCAGGAGCTGCAGTGGAGGAGGGGTGCCCCGCCCCCTCCACTGGAGGTGGCCCAGGGACAAATCCCACATTCCAACCCAGGGGAGAGAGGAGGGCAGGGTGCCAGGTCTTGTGACACCTACAGATTCATCTCCGGAGGCCAGAGGCCGGGAGATCTTAGAGTCTGCTCTTCCGCTGCTGTTCTGCACATTCCTTTATAAGGGACTTGAGGGGGGTTAGGCTAATAAGAGGTTTGGGGGCAGCGTTTCTCAAAGAAATGCCTCTTTGGCCCAACTTATCAGCCTGGGAAGGTGTAAGAAGGGAAGTGTGGCCTAAGGGAAAACATTCCTCCAGGAAGCATCATCGCACAGGCTGAAGGTGGTCGGGGAAGGCAAGTGCTGGGAAGGCGAGGCAGAGGTCTTCATGCCTGACCTCTCCAGGAGACCTTGTCCCCGAGCCGGCTGCACGCTCCCCCACCGCGGTCTGTCCTCTGCCCTGTTTCGCAGTGTGGAGCACAGACATCTCGTCGTCAGTCTGTCGCTCGACCCTGCGACGAGCAGTGAACTGGAGGGCAGGCCGTCCAGGTGTAGGACACAGTCCCGACCTACACTGGCAACTGTAGACTTGCACCCTCCCCCTGTTTTTTTAAAACAGATTCCTCCTCCTCAAGAACACATGTATCTGTGTAAAGTGACACTTTTAGAGAATGGCAGTGTCTGACCTCACGTGGAGTAATTTGTTGTTTGTGCTCAGGAGGAAAGGCTGCTGGACTTCTTTTCTTTTCTTTTGCAAAATATCACGCTACAATCCCATTCAGACTAATAAGGAAAACGAGTCACCAGAGGCACCTAGAAGATGCCTGGGGTCCCTCTTCCCTTTATAAAATGCGCTGTGGCTGTTTAGCTGGCCCCGTTCCTTGAAGTGTCAAAATGAAGCTGCATCCTTCCCTCCCAAAGGCAAAAGCCCAGCTGAAAATGTCTATCCGACATTCACAGACTTCCCCTAGAGTTCGGCCCAGTCAGTTAAAGACATGAACTTTTTCTGTAACTCCCAGTATATTTTCTTTATTAGGAGAACAGGTAAGGAAGCTAGCAAAGAAGCTGGTTCTGCCTTTAGAATGCCTTTATTTTCTATAATGTGGTCATCTCCTCAGGACTGTCTCCAGCTTTTTGGGAAAATGGGCTAATGGATGATCTGGGTTCCCTTCCAGCCAGCAACAAAGCAAAATGAATAAGATTCAAAGTAACAAACAGGCGGGATGGATGGTATTGGTAGGGATCACGTTATGCCCACTTTTTGGAAGCACTTCACACTCCCTAGCTTCCTGTAATTAATATGTAACCATTTCTGTTTGGGTTCCTAATGTAGGAGGCACCGGCCTCCAAGCCTTTTTCAGTGCTTGCCACAAACTGCTGTGCTTCCAAAGCTCAGCTCCCTGGGAGTGAGGCCCAAGACCGCCCCTCCCTGAGCCGTGAGGTTCAAAGCGGACGGCAACTTCCTCCCTGGTGGTGCTTATGTTGGAGATATGGCCAAGAGCACCAGCCACCCCATTGCTACTATGAGGCAGGAGTTCTTGTCCCTCGAGCATGAGGCTGAGTTACTGGCGTTTCTGGTGAAAGATGCACAGGGAGCCAGCAGCACTGGGTGGCTCTTAGATGGAGGGTGACCTATCGGAGGAGGTGCCACTATCGAGGGAACCAGATGGAGGTCAGCTCACCAGCTCAGGAGACCTTCAAAGAAGCAGATCCATGGGGATCAGCCCCCTTAGTCCTGGGTGCCCAGTGCTTTGTGATAGGAGAAAACACAGGGCAGGGGGAGGCTTGGGCTTTGAAACCAGACTTTGGGGGACCATCTCCTCAACCTAGTAATTGGACACATCACTTAACATCTCTGAGCCTCCATTTTCTCATCTGTAAAATGAGGACAATTGTATTCCCCTCCCCCAGGGTCTCGTGAAATGGTAGGAGATGCTGTGGGGGATCCCCCCTCCCTCCCTCTACCCCTTCTCCCAGTGAAGCAAGGTTTAGTATCTCTCCCCACGAATTCTGAAAAATAAAAACTGTGGTGATGAAAGTACCCAGCACAATAGATGAGCTCTCGTTGTTTGTTTCTGAAACATTTCCCATTCCTTCATCCACGATACACAAGTTCACTGTCACAAGTACCCTGAATGGAATTGGTTTAGGACTTCGGGTTCATTCATACACTGTCTACCGCGTGCGGAGCTCCAGGACAGACAATGGAGATACTCGAATGGATGACATGGTTCCTAAGCATGGACAAACGAACACAGGAGCAGCTGACATCAAAGGCACAAAGGCGGGGAGGGGATGCAGCAGGGGACCCCTTTGCCTTGCTTATGTGGGGGGGCTCCTGTTAGGTAAAATTCTGGAGAGAGTCTTCAGAAAAGAAATCGCTCAAATGTCAAGGTATTTCAATTGACTATTGATCAAAGTAATTTAGAAAACATCAGTGGTGAATTCAATAGAAATTATTTCGATAATAAAGTCTCTTGACAAACATTTAAGGGGTGTGTATTTGCAAAACAGCACAGATGTGGAGATGCATAAAAATGAATAAGAAGGATCCCTTTCTCAAAGAATCTTGAGTTCTAATTAACGATTAACAAACTGACAATAATCGAAGTAGCAGGCTAGCAGTTCGTAAAGCGTACAGTGGGAACACGGGGCTTTTCGTGAACAAAGCGCCCAGCTCCCGCCCCACAAACTTCTAGTAGAGACCCTGCTCCTTGGCAGGGCGGCGTTCCTCTCCTGACCCCACAAGCAGACGACCAGGACGGCCAGCTGCTCTTTATGAGGGAGCAGTGACACTTCTCCTTGCGAAGGAGTTCACACTGGTGCTCCTCAGAGAACTGGGGCACTGCTGGGGACTCACTGGGGCAGTGCACCCTGGGTGAGCAGGCTGGGAGAGAACTTTGGGTGTTCTAAAGGCGATTCAAGATCCACAGGAGTCTCCTCACCTTGTCCGACTTTCTGCCACATTTTGCAAGGTGATTTCTTTTCTTCAGCCTCCTCTGAGGGTGTGGGCCTGATGGCGCTTAGGCCAGAGATGCACTACTGAGGGGAGAGGGAAATGGAGAGATTCAGTACTTAGAGTACAGCACTTCCTGGGAGGCGGGCACCATCCCATTAACGCTCCCAAGGACCCGGGTTAGGATGGTTGTCATGGGTGTGGTCCCTCGTACCTGCTGGGGAAGCTGGGGCTCGCAGAAAGTGCTCCCCAAGACCCGGTGAGTGAGGGGCAGCCCAGGAGTCAAGCCCTGATTGCATCGCTCACTCTCTACTCCACACAGGACACGTGTCTCCTGAGCTGGTCCTTCCTGCTCCTCAGGGAATGTGCTTGGTGGGTGTTGTGCCAGGGACCCAGAAACCAGCTGGCAAGTGGCAGGTGAATTTCAGTCCAAGATTTTTCAAATCACGTTTGATTCTCTTTTTATTCTGGCACATACTATACCAAACAAATATATTATGGATCAGAAAGCAACATGTACGTCAATATGAAAAATAAAACATGAGCCCTGGCTGGTGTGGCTCAGTGGATCGAGTGCCAGCCTGTGAACTGAGGGTCGCTGGTTCAATTCCTAGTCAGGGCACATGCCTGGGTTGGGGGCCAGGTCCCTGGTGGGGGGGGCGGGGTATGAGAGGTAACTACATATTGATGTTTCCCCCTCTTTCTCCTTCTCTTCTCTTCTCTCTAAAAATAAATAAATAAACAAATCTTTAAATAAAATAAAACAGGATCTTCAAAGACATTTTGTTTGCCTTTCCCTGCATCTGAGGCACCTTGTGGTCGCTCTCTGGGGCCTCTGAGCCAGTGCCGTCAGCCCATCCGTCCAGGGTGCCGTAAGCATCACAAGATGCACATCATCAGGGATCAAACCCAGAAAGTGGTTGAATCAAGGGCTGAATGATGTGCTAAGTATTAGAAATTCAGAGAGCGAGGGATGTGGCAGGTCAGGGACATCTCAAAGGCACCGGCAGGAGGAGGGGTTTGGTGGGCAGAGAGGAGAGTGGGCGTTCTGAGTTGGGGTGGTAGTCTCATGGTATAGTGCGTGGGAGGGGCAGTGAGGAGGCAGGCTGCAGCCGGGAAGGACTGCTGGGACCAGGGAGAGATGAACAGCTGAAGGCAAGATTGGGAAGCTGGGTGCAGAGCCTGGACATGATGGGGAGGTGGTGGGAAGCCAGGACCGGGCCACAGGCACAGCAAACAGTCAGGGGCGTGAACTCTGGACAAGTAGCCAGGTTCACATCTGGATATGGCCACTTCCTGGCTGAGTGATCTGGGGATATTACCTGGTGTCCTGTGCCTCAGTTCCCTCATCATAAGGCAGTCTCTAGCCAGCAGGTTTATTGTGAGGCCCGTGAGTGCTCAGCACTCTGTGGGTTGGTAACAGGTGTCATGGAAACAGGTGGTGGGGAGTGACCAGAGGTGGACAGGTGACCTGAAGACTATGCTGAAAGTTTACAGAATTTGAAGATTTTTCCAAAATTACATGACATGCCATTCATTTGTGCCATCTGGATTTCTAAGTCTGAGGATATGTTTACTCACCTTAGAGAGAGAGGAAAGGAGAGTGATAGAGAAGCAGAGAGAAACATGCACGTGAGAAAGAAGCATTGATTGGCTGCCTCCCATACACGCCCTGGCTGGGGTCAAACCTACCACCTAGGTATGTGCCCTGACCAGGAATCGAACACACAACTTTCAGGTGTACGGGATGATGCTTCAACCAACTGAGCCATCTGGCCAGGGAAAGATATAGAACATTTAATCATTCCTTAAATTTCTTCATGTCCCATTGCAGTTGCTACCTTGGCACCACATTCCAGGCCATCTAATCACCTGTTTCTGAAGCAATGTTTTCTAACGGTATCAGTCAGCTGGAGCGGCCGTCGCACTGCACCACGGCCTGGGGGCTCCAACGGCAGGTGTGTTTTCTCACAGTCGTGGAGGACAGCAGCCTGAGTCGAAGGATTAGCAAGTTCCTGCTTCTCAGGCCTGTCTCCCTGTGTCCAGTGGTCTTCTCTGTTCCCGTCTGTGTCCTATGTCCTCTTCTTTGAGAACACCCATCCTGTGAGATGAGGGCCCATTGTAACAACCTTATTTTAACTTAATTACCTCTTTAAACAGCTTATCTCCACATACAGTCACATTCTAGAGCTGGGGGTTAGGTCTCAATATTAATTTTGGGGGGAGGGGACACAAATCGTCCTGTTACAGCTATACCCCCCTGAGTGTGAAAGTCTGACGGCTGGGGGCGGGGGGCGGTGAAAGTGCACTGGGGTTATTTGCCCGCTCCTGTTCCTCAGCCTGGTGTGGTCACATCCTCCGGGTGTGGACAGTGACGAGTGGCCCTGGGAGCCCCCCGCGACACATCCTCTGACCCCGCACAGCTCCATCTGTGTCCCGAAGAACATGGAGAGACTTTTCTGAATTTCCATTTCTGAAAACTTGTACCGTGTATGTCCCAGTTGCAGTATCACAGTAGCTTTTTAAAAAGAAAAAAGAAAGAAAGAAAGAAAGAAAGAAAGAAAGAGAGAGAGAGAGAGAGAGAGAGAAAGAAAGAAAGAAAGAAAGAAAGAAAAAGGAAAGAAAGAAAGAAAGAAAGAAAGAAAGAAAGAAAGAAAGAAAGAAAGAAAGAAAGAAAAGGGAGAAAGAAAGAAAAGGGAGAAAAGGAAAAAGCAAAGGGGAGTGTGTGCTCTGGTTCCTTGGAAACAGAGCTGCAGCCTGTTACATCTGAATTTCCCAGCAGACGCTGCAGCTGCGGTGTGGCCGTGAGGTGGGCTTGGTCAAGTCGTTCCTGAGCAGGAGAGAAGTTCTTTTCTCTCCTTTTTGGGCCCTCGATGAAACACCGTAAGGAGACACAGATCTCCAGAGAGGCAAAGGCAGAGGACAGAGCAGAGACCACACAGACCCTCAGGTGTGTAAGGGAGGAACACTTTGCCCATTCCCCACCACTGCTGAGGGGCTGGTGGGAATAAGGGAAAGGGGAAGGGCCATAGCAAAACCCTGACCACTGGCAGAGAGAAGGGGCAAGGGAGGTGGAAAAGGGAAAGGGGATGGTGGACGTGGAGGGGAGAGAGGGATGGGAGGCCCAGCAGAGGGAGAAAGAGCAGTTTCGGGCAGATAAAAAAGGAAACTGAGTTTTCGGCATCTCTTTGTTATCTCCTTATTCTTAAAGCAATTATGACCTACTTTGCCTCATCTGTAATATGCTCTGGTATCTAAATAATATATCACAGTGATGGGCTAAGACTGTTACTCATATATTTAGGATCTGTTATCTTTGAACCAGATGTTGCTAAGTGCCCCCTTCCCGCCCCCCCGCACCTAGCAGTGCTTGGCTGTCCCTGCACCCCAGATGTGTTTGCAGCGCGTGCCTGGGCAAGCTCGGTGCCAGGCCCGCGGTGTCCTTTAGTTCTGTCTAAAAATCCTTCCGGGAAACTAGTACTGTGTTGGCTTTGCTTGCGTTGTTGAGAGTCTTGAGTGGGAGGGCAGCCTGAGTCTTCGTTGAACAAACCAGAATATTCTTAAACAGAGAGAATAATACAGCACCTCCCACCCACCCACCCCCAGCTCCCACAAGGCCAAGCTTGGTTCGTCTTCTCTGACACCCCTGCCCCCACCACCCAGCTCTTTTGAGGCAAAGCCCAGGTAGCTATCACTTGTAAATATTTTCATAAGTATCTCTAAGTGATAAAGCCTCTAAAAGATATAACCACAATAAATTGCTCCTAAAAATAAACAATTGTATCCTCAATATCATTCAGATATCCAGTTAGTGTTCACATTTCTCTGATTGTATTCAGTTTTTTACATTTTGCTTGTTTGATTGGGATCCATGTGAGGTCCTAGCACTGGGATATGTCTCCTGAGTATCTTCTAATCTGTAGGTTCCCCTCCCTCCCCCGACCCCTCAGAAATGGAGTTGTTCCTTCTTTAGAGTTTCCCGCAGGCTTAGTTTTGCTGACAAAGTTTTTGTGGTGTCATTTAACATGTTCTTCTGTCCCTCGTGTTTTCTTATCTACAGGCTTGGTTACAGATGTGTGCACTTGAGCAAAACTGCTTTATAGGTGGTGTGTATTTCCATTAGCAAGTGTACAATGTCTGTTTTCTCTCTTTACTAACCATTGATGATCATTGTCTAGATTCACCAGTTTATTCAGAGTAGGAAAATGATGATATTCTGATGCTATCATATCTCTTCATCTATTAGCTGGAACACTATAAATTAAGACCTTACTCACCAACTGTTTGGTTGCCCTGAGGTCCAGATCATGTGGGAGATGAGGACAGATGCTAGGTTTTTTTCCCTTGATTTACGAGTTCATGAGTGAATAAAAGAGTTGGTTCCTTCACGTCATCCCAAAGTAAGCAAATGAGCTGTTATTGTTTGAGCTGTAAAAGTGCACTGGGATTTTTGTATGACTGTGGCCCTTGGATTCAAACATATTTGACCTATTTCAACCCAGTGCACTTTTTATACGTATTATGAACACTTACATTGTCGTGTCTTTGGCCGATGAGAGCCTCTTCCAGCTTGGTTCCTGGTCCTTTGATGCCAGCCCAACAGACTTTGAGCTTCTCCACTTCCTGGTGTGAGAGAATAGGGTACATTTTCTCACCCAAACCTGCAATGGGCCATTTCTCCAAGGGTTCCCAATGGCTTTCAGTGGGAAATCCCCGGTCAGTGTGACCACAGTCTGTGCCCTGGCACTGCAACCGCCACCACAGGGGCTGTGGTGTCCAGGTCTTTGCCACGGACAGAGCTAGAACACATGTACTCTTGATTGAAGATTACATTAATTACCTGATCCTTCCACTTAAACCCAGGATTACAGGAATTTTACTTAACTTAATCAGCCTTACATTGTATCTCCTATCAACTACAGTGAACAGTCCTTAAAGACACCAGCGTTATTTCCCCTTTGATGTGTCCCAGGATGCACCGACTCCAGCCTCAGAGTGCCGGGGCCAGCGTGTCCTCAACAATGTGATTACGGAAAGACCTGTAAGATTTTGTTTCCAGTTCTCTTTGTCCTCCAAGCACATCCCATGGAGAATGTACAGATACAGCACTTCAGAGCCATTTGCACAGTTCCATCTGTGTGGTCCACACTTCGGTCCTTATACTTCCTTTTCATTTCAGTTTTTAGGAACTGTTCTTTTGATTTACTTTTGTTCTTTCAAACTATATAAAATATTTACTGGCTCCAAAATAAATTCTACAGCTTCTCCATTTCTTCCCTCTGTCACTAAGCATTTTAAAAATTATGGTTTATTTTTTCAACTTTAAGTGCTTATATATATTGATAACCATGGTACTGAGATATAGTGCTTATATATATTGATAACCATGGTACTGAGATATAATTTAAATGTCATAAATTCATTCTTTACAAATGCATGCCTTCTTTTCTTAGATAAATAGTGGCATATCATGAACACATTTCTCTGCCCTGCTTTCTGTGTTGATGATACACCCTGGAGACCCTTCCATGGCAGTACAGAGATCTCCCTCGCTCCCTTGCACGGCTGCATGGCTTAAAGTGTCACAGTTTATTTAACCAGTTTCCCATTGTGCACATCTGGGTCATCTTCAGGTTTTTGCTATTACAAATAGTGCGTATATATTTTCACATTTTGGCCAGTATCATTTTGGGCTATCCCTGTATGGAGGGGACATTGCTAGATCAAAGGGTAAATAAACATATAATTTTTCTAGACTTAGCCCAGTTCCTCCCCCACCAAAAATACATGAGCGGCTCATTTCCTCCCAGCTTTGCTAATGTGCATGGTCAAACCTCTGCACGTCTGCTCACCTGCCGGCAGGGAAACCGTCTCAGCATCGTTTGACTTGGGTTTCTCTCCATTCAAGTACAGCTGAAGGTCTTCTCACATGACCGAGAGCCTCCTGCAGTTCTGTTCCTGGGAACCGCATCCTAATTTCTCATCCATTTTCCCAGAGGTTTACTCATCTTTAAAACCATCTGTGATAGGAGGTCATATGTCTTTCCTCATTGGTCTTTTGTCTTTATAATAGAGCCTTGCACCATGGCAAAAAATATTGTAGTGTTGTTGTTTTATATAAGCAAATTTATCAATAAGTAAGAATTTATCTTCTTACTTCTGGCTTTAAGACGTAGAGAACTTTCCTTGATTCTGGTTTATGGATTCGAGCTGTCCCCTTTGCAGCAGACTAAATTCTCAGGTGCAGTTGGTCAATTTCTGTATTTCCTTTTCTGGTCCATTGGTCTGCCTGTCTACTCTTGGGCCAGAGTCACCTGTTTTCATTACAGATGCTTATAATGTACTCCAATGTGTGGCGAGGTTAACCTTCCTTCTCCCCATTGTTGCTCTTTCCCAGGGTTTTCCTAGTTGCTCCTGCCTCTGTATAAGTCACATTTTGAAGTTTTAGGGCAGATTTATAGAACTACCACTCATAAATCTTGTTTACATAGTCATTCAAATGAAACAAAAGTATGTAAATATATATCTATATGTAAATATGTATCTATATAGTTGTATCAAAACCAAGAAAATTCCCATACTATGAAATTAAGGAATTAATGTCGACTCATGTGTGTTTGACAATGGTACTGAGGGTTCTTTTTAAAGTCCCTGTCCTTTAGAGATATGCAGTAAAACCATCACTGGTTAAATCATAATTGGTGTTTGTTCCCAAGCAATCCTGATCTATAGTGAAGCAATCAGGGATTGAATCCTAATTTATATCTTCTCCGGAGGAGCCCGGTGGTGGGAGGAGGCAGAGATGAAATGAGGCGGCCACCACTGATCATTACTGAAGCTGGATGATGGGGACTTGGGCCTCCATTCACTATTGTGTAGACTATTGTACATGTTTAAAATTTCCCAGAATAAAAAAGTTTTTTAAAAAAGAAAGGGCTTTCAAATTCTAAAGGTTTTGGAAAGGTGGAGCAATACAGGACTTTTAAAAAAATCAGATTCGGCAAAGACTGGGAGGGTTGCACAAGGAGGTTTGCGGCCGGCGCCAGCCACTGCCGGAGCCGGAAGCGGGACACGCAGTGGTTACAGAGCACGAACTGGCTCAGGCCCGGCTTGGCAAAGCATTTCTGCCATTGAACTTTTCCCTGTCGCTGAAGCATGGTCTTTTCTGGGACTTAAAGGTCTAACAGAGGTGTGCCCGGTTCACACAACAGGTGAGTCTCTGAAAAGTTGGGTTTAAAGGTTAGGGTGTGCACCTGTTAGCCTGGCATGGTGCTCAGAGTTTGCTTCAGGTGGTCCTTGAAATTCATAGGTGTTTCAAAAGGACAAAATAAGTAAGATGTCATAAATATCACTTTTATGGTGATGCTTTTTAGAAATAAAGAACCATTATAATACCTGAAACTAATATAAAATAATATTAAATGTCAACTGTAGTTGAAAAATAAATAAAATGGCCTGGAAATAAAATAAAAACTCATTCCAGATTGCAGACCATAGACCCCCTGACCTACCCTTCCCACACGTGAGCACTTAATAAGATGAACTTTGTTCTAGTTTCAAACCAGCACTCCATCCTGCAGTTTGATGCCCTCTGTCACTTGCACAGTCTGAAGAGAGGGCTGCTGAGTTCTTTGATCACCAGGAAGTAGCACTTCAAAATTCAAGGCGTTGGGGTGAAGGAGAAGGGAAACACATCTATGTCCTTGGTTCCTTTAAAAGGCAACACTGGCCACATATATTACCTGTTAAACATTAATAGACATAACTCCCTTGAAAAAATATATAGTTGCTGCAACCCAGAAACACAGCTCCTAAAATATCCTTCAGAGAAATGTGTGCACCTGTCTAGCTGGACACAAGTGCAAAAGAATGTGCTAAGATTATCCACAACAGCCAAACACTGGGAACAAAACAAGTGTCCCACAGCAGCTGAAAGGATAAATGAGTGGTTGAGTATTGGTGTGTTGAAGAGCCATGCAGCAGTGAGGATGAGCAAACCATGGCTGCCTTCAGTGACGTGGACGGATACTGCAGAAGTAGTGTGGTGGAGAAGGCAAGACAAACAAGAATACATGCATATTATTCATCGACTGTGTTGCTCAAGGATGCATACACAGATATTAAATTAAAACAATAGTAGGGACAGGGAAAACTACGGGTGTATTAAACTCCACAATCAACTATAGAGAGCTGGGCCATCACAGAAGGCAGGACAGTGTCTGTCTTAGAGGGAGTGGGAGTTAAAGGAGCAGGGACCCACAGAAACATCCGGGGTTCTGGAAACGTTCCATTCATCAGCCTAGTTGGTCAGGGCACAGCTAAACCACGTAAAATTATTTATTAAACTGAACATTTATTTGTCTACACTTTGCTGGACTGGCTTTCCATTTCTCAACTTAAAGTATTAAAATAAGAAGTTAATTAAAGGCCTTTTAAATTTTTATGGGAAACATAACTTCCCTTGTATTGTCTGTAAATAAAAATGTATGGCCTGTAAAATAGTCATTGTCAACATAATTGGCTGTAAAGTCCTTAAGCTGCTGAATCATGGAACTCATGTGAAGGATATTGGAGGAACTAGAGAGATATAACAGAATAAAACTCTAAATGTGTCAAGAGCAGGCTTTTTGCTGAATTAACAGTTTGGAAACACATCTGCAAGTCCAGGTTCAATTATGATTAGTAAAGGGAAAACATAAAATGGAGAAAATAGTGCATGGGGGAGAGATTGAGAAGCTTTTAAAACACACAAACTTGAAATATATTGCTTATTTTTTTTTTGCACGTAGAGTACAAACTCCTCTTTCACACTTGAGTATGTGTGTAGGGCAAGGAAGAGGGGACTGCTTTGAGTAACGAGGGCAAGTGACATCACCGCTATTGCAGGCACAGCCCCGGAGGCCCTCGTGGGTTTGCTGTGCTGTGGGCGTCAGACGGCCACAGCTCTCAGCCAGTCGGAAACTCAGTAGAGGGTGCGTTTTCAGATTATAACTTTGATTGATGTAGTCCCTACACAGTCTCTGCATTATGGATTGTTACGAAAGAGCGATGTATTACTTCATATGGTTACAGACAAGCAACGGACAACTCCACACATCGTCAGCATGAGTGACAGAATCACTCTGAGCAAAGAGAAGCATAGAAACTTGACTGCAGGCCTGGGACCGTGCTAGTCGCTTTCGCATGTGACTTCACACAATCTCACTGGCAGTACTTCCTGCGAAGTATGTGCAAACTCTGAAGGACAGACCGCTGCCCCCCATTTCACAGACAAGGAAAGTAGCCGCACAAAGGAAGTGTCAGAACCTGGGGAAAAGTGTCGACTTCAATAGAAAACATAAATTATGGGAATAGACATGATGTTAAGAAAATGCAGATACTTTAACTAATATATATGTTAGGATAAATAAAGACTAAAAACTCAGCTCAAATAAATATTCAAAGTATAATCCATTTCAGTCTTCTTGCTTTCAAGATGTATTATATAGCAACGATAATTATAATATATAGTATATATTATTATATAGTATAGTATAATATTTATTATTATATATTATATTATATATATATTATCATATAGTATATATATTATTTCCACCAATACGTTGGTGGAAAGGTAGACACCTTGATCAATGAAACAGCACAGAGAACCCAGAAATAGACCTACACAAATACACAAAACTATTTTTTGGTAAAGGTTTGGGAACAATTCAATAGAAGGAAGGACAACCTTTCAAAAAATGATGCTGAAACAACTGGACATCTGTAGAGGAAAAAACCCCGATTCTCACACTTTATACAAAAGTTAACTTCAAGTGAATAATGGATTTAAATGTAAAAATGTAAGGCTATAAAACTTTAAGAAAAAAATGGGTGAAAATCTTGAGGATCGAGGGCTAGGCAAAAAGTTCTTAGACTGACACCAAAAGCATGATCCGTAAAAGGAAAAATTGATAAATTTCACTTCAAAATTTAAAACCTTTGCTCAGCGTAAGACCTTGTTGGAAAGGATAAAAAGGCAATCTTTACCGACCAGGAAAAAATATTTACAAATCATATATCAGACAAAAGGCCACTCTCTAGAATACATTTTAAAAATAATCCTAAAACTCAATGGTTAAAAAAAGCAAACAATCGAAATAAAATATGGGCAAAATACAATTCACTAAAGAAGATTTACAGATGGAAAATAAGTACATGAAAAGATGTTCAGCATCATTATCCGTTAGGAAAATGCAAATGAAACCACAATGGGGTCTTAACGACACTCTTACCAGAAAGGCTACAAAACAAAATAAAACCAAACCAAACAAACAAAAAAAGCAGGAGCAGCACCAAATGCTGATGAGTTTGCAGAGAAACTGGATCACTCAGACCTTGCTAGTGGGAATGAATGTAAAATGGTAGCACCACCTGAAAACAGGCTGGCCATTTCTTAAAAAAAACAACAAAAAACAGAAAACAAAAACATGAAACTACCCTCTGACCCAGCAATTGCACTCCTGGACAATTATCCTAAAGCAATGAAGACTTATGTTCATGCAAAAACCTATACATAGACGTTTATTTGTAACAGCCAAAATTTGCAGCCAACTTAGCTGTCTTTCAACAAGCGAACAGCTCAACTGTGGCACGTCCATACCACAGCATACTACTCCACAATAAAAAGGAACTAACTCTGACACACAGAACTTGGGTGGCTTATAGTGCCTCTTTGCCCTTTACCTGGTTTAGCTAAATTTCTACAATTCTTCATTCTTTGTACATTGTATATCTTTGCTCAGAGACTAATTTAAGGCTTCGGCCTTAGAGCAGTCTAGGGAAAATCCCAGTTGTCCAAACGTTTGTCGGTCTGTGGTCTTCAAAATTAAGGTTTACCAGAACAATAAGTGATGTTAGAGCTGAATATTTTTATGTCTTCCTAGTGCAACAATTCTGAAAATTTTTGTCTCAGAATCTCTTTACATTCCTGAAAGTTTTTGAGGACCCGAAGAGCTTTTGATGTGTGGGCTATACCTACCCATATTTGCCATATTGGAAGCAAAAACTGGAGGAATTTTTAAAAATATTTTATTAATTCACTTAAAAATAACAATAATAAATCCTTGACATGTTAAAAAAACAGCATTTTTGATCAAAAGTAAATATATTTTGGGAAACAACAAAACATTTGGTGAAAAGAGGGGCATTGCTTCCCATCTTGGCGAATCTCTAATGTCTTGCTTTCTCATTTGCGAATCTCTTTTAAGAGCTGAGTTCTCATGTCTGCTCCCGTCTGTTGTGGTCTGTTGGTTGGTTGAGCTGAAGCATGTGAGAAGCCCACCTCACACAGATGTGCAGTTGGAAGAGGGAGGACTAGACAGGCCTCCCAAAGTGTCTGTGGCGCCCCAGGGATCCA